GAGGTGGGAAAGATCGGTGCTGGCTGATCTGCAGGATGCCCCAGCTGTACCTGGGGCGGGTTTGTGGGCCAGGAGCTGTTTGGCTTCTCCCGGGGGTGGAGATCATGGCAGCCCTAGCCAGTATGCCTGGGTGAGCTGAGCTTGAGGCTCCTGGAGCCGTGACTCATGGCACAGGCACTGCAGGACCAGGCCAGCACAGTTCGCCCTCTAATGAGAGCCCATGTGTTTGTCTGAGCCTGATGGCCCCCCAGAAGAAAAGGCAATTTGCATTGTGTCCCCCTTCTACAAAAGAGGACACTTAAGCTGAGGGACTGGCCAGAGCAAGACTAGCTTCAGGCCTCTCACAACCCACTATGGGGCAGCACTCTGTCCTGCAGGGTGGAAGTTAAAAGTCATCCCCATGTCCCCTCTGTTGCCTGTCAGTGCTGTTCCCATGGCTGCCTGGAGGGTCCTTCCCACAGACCACAACCCCAGCCTCACTAACAGGGCAGCTGAAGGTTTCTGAGCATTAAATAAGGTGGGATGGGGAAGTATAACTTCTTAGTTCAGAATAGTCCAGGCTTTCAGAGAGCCAAGTCCATTTTGGAATGTACTGGAGAGTTCCAGGCCTGGATGATTGGAAAGAAGTTAATGTGCTATGGCTTGTTTTTCTCACTTCTCCCTCCCATCCCTACTCCTCCCTTCTCACAAGATGTTTTTCTTTCATTACTGCAGTAATTGAGCTGAAAGCGGAGGATCGAAGCAAGTTTTTGGACGCGCTTATTTCCCTCCTGTCCTGAGGGTGAGTGCGGGGGCAGGTGGGGGGCCCTGCCACAAAGCCAGTGCTGCGAAAGGCCCCGCCTGATTCCTGCTGTGGGTTCCCTGCTCTTTTCCTCCCCAATCAGGCTTCTACTTGGGTTTCAGGGAGATCTGGGGCCAACACATTTTTCCCAGGAATGTCTGTCTGTGTGCTGGCGGCAGTGCCCACAATGGGGCATGTTGGGGAGCTGATTGCATTAAGTTCCTGAGACCCTTCAGAAACAGCCAGCATTTGCCCTCTTCCCGACCATACTGTGGGTTGGGCAACAGCCAAGGACACACAGGCCACCTGGAGCCTTGTTGCCCCTTCAGCCTGGCTTCAGGCCCTGGGCTGGAGCCCACAAGGGCCTCTATTCAGGCTCCTGTGTGCTTTTGAGAAAGCAAAGCTGTTGCCAGCCACTCAGCTGAGAATTATGAAATGGCTGTACACGGCCTACAACAGCATGTGGCCTTAACCGACGGCCTCCTCGGGAAATGGGCCTCACCTGACGAAGTCAGGGGCTGCTCTGTGTCTAGTGATCACTTCTCAGCACAGGGCCCCTCATACAGTGGATGCCCACACCTAGTCCTGCATCTCCCTGAGCCTGAGTTGGGGCTATTGCTGTGGCAGATGGGCCTGGCAAGGCTCTGACATAGGATGGGCCCTCATGTCAGTCCAGGGTCCTCCTGTTTCCTCGTCCATGATAAGTGGAAACTAAGAGCAGATGATCCAATCAAAGGTTACAAGTAGGGCTCCTAGGCAGCGAGGCTGGCATTTGAGGCAGTCGCTCTCCTGCAGTCTGCTCAGTAATGTGTCCTACCACAAAGCCCGGGTGCAAGGTGGCTCAGCCAGGAAGGGTGAGGAACAGTGTGTCAGGGGTGGCAGCAAGACACACCAGACAAGAGGAGGGTTACCATGGGGCTGAGGCTGGACAAGCCACTGGGTAAGAACTGCAAGTAAGAAGGTCACCTTGGTGACCTAAGTCTTCAGAACTAAGGCCTTCAGGGGTTCTCGAGCAGATAACAGACTGGACCTGGGCAAGGGGTACAGTCAGGAGGGCAGGATCAGGCACCTTGGTAGTTCTAGGGTGGCCCTCATCCCATGAGTGGTGGGGGCTACTCAGAAACAGCAGCCTGGCATGTCATTATTTATTTTGGGGAAAATTTAAGAATTGTTTGAAATTTCTTTCTTTTTTTTCTTTTTCAGAGTTGGATATCTTCAGAAATGACCTCCTTCTCCTTATTTATATTAATAAGCTTTTTATTTAGATTGTAAGTTATGGATATAGTTTTAAATGCAGGGACAATGGTTTTTAATGGAATAAAAGGCTTATTTTAGGTTTGATGTGCCAACCTTTGCTCCAGTCATAGGGCAAGTACTTAGTTGTGCCCTGAGCTGAGCCTTCTGTGTATTCATAGGAGCCTTGATCATGTTCCCTGGACACCCTCAGGCTCTACAGGAAATTAGCACATGTTGGGGTATGGGGACAGCGATAGGCAGATGCCGAGCACCTGGGTGTCTATATAGCACTGCGCCAAACACTGCCCAGCAATGCCAGCCAGAACCTGGTTGTGTCCACTCCCCCACCACTTCCTCTTGGCCTTGGCAACATCTCAAGTTCACCCTCTTGATCACATCCTACTCTCGTGATCAGCCACCCCATCCCATCCCCAGGACTGTCCTCTCACACTTCAGCACCTATGTGTCCATGCACCACCAACCTCACAGGCACACAGTGAGGCCCAAGCCAGGAAGCGCCGCTGATAGAGACACGATGCCCCCAAGGTCAGCTTCACCTGCGTCTTTTGTCACAGAAGGTCTGAGCTGGACAGGACCTTGGTGACCTAAGTCTTCAGAACCGCGAGAGTTCTCCAGGAGCCTTGGGATCCACTGGTCCCACTCTCCCAGATGTCTCTGGAGCATGATCTGGAGGCGAGGATGCCCCCATCTACTGCTCTTTGAGGGGGTCTGTCAGATACATCACCTGTTTCAGGGGAGGAGAGAGTGCATACAAGTGGCTGAGCTTGTCTGTGGTTACCGCTTGGAGCTTAGGTGCCAGGGAAGCAAGCAGGCTGGAGGGACATGGCCTCCTGAGTGCAGCACCTGAGGCTGTGGGCAGGTGAAGGAGGAGTAGTTTGAGCAGGCTATAAGCTGGTGGAGGGGAAAGCTTAAAGAGTGGGTGGGTGTGGCCAAGACTCAAAGCAGCCCTTGGGAAAGGGTAGTGGGCACCGTGAGGTTGGCTGCAATGGGGCCAGCTTCTCTCTCCTGACCTCTGGCGGTGGGCTTTGCGCCCTGCCCTTGATATGGGTCAGGTGGCAGCAGCCTGGTTCTCCAGGGCTTGCCCTCAAGCTCCCCAACCTGGCTGCAAAAGCTGTCTGTGCAGCTGCCTTCAGAACCCCAGCTGAGACCTGAAAGAGTTGGAGAGCTGTGGGTTTGTGTAGCCAGCATTAGCTGGCCCAGCAGCCAGGAGCTGTTTTTGGGCCCTGCTGCACAGGCCAGCAGGCTGCTGAAGTCCTTTGTACTGTGGGGCCCATCCCCCTGCAGCCATTGTTGGGAGCTCAGGCCACCAGTTGTTTCAGCTTCCCGGGAAGTCCTGCTCACTGGCTCTGCTGTGAGCTCATGTCCTCAGCTTCTCCCTATCCACTGACCCCCTCTTCCTCTAAGAGGCCTAACCAAGCCTGGGGGACTCCTTGCTACTGGACATGGCACTGGCATTTCTGGACAGGGCCCCTGAGGCCAGGGTTGGGGGCAGATGCCAAACCTTCCTGCTGGCCAGGCTCAGAACACCTTTGCTTCTGTCCACTGCTCTCTTCTGCCTTAATCTGGCAGAAGGTAAAAATACATTAATTTTAAGTGCCTAGAACAATGCTAGAAGCAATGAGCTTTCAGTTGCTGTAATAGCTCTGGTTTGCTTTGCTTTTCTGGGATCTACTCCCCTCCCCCAGGTGCCTGACCAAGGACAGCAGAGCTCCCAGGGGTCCCACCACAGGAGGAGGGTGATACAGGGGGCTCCCAGCAGGTGCTGATGGCACAAGTCTGGGATGGTCATCAGGTTGGGCACGGTGGAACAAGACTGGCAGAAGAGCCAGGATGGGCTGGAGCTGAGCCTAGCACTTTCCAGGCAACTGGCCATGGGGCCTCCTCCCATGGCAACAAGCTTGTCGACCTGCAGCTAGCTCTGCTGGAGCCCACCCAGCACACATCCTGGATTCACCCTGTTCTCACTGCACCCAGTTGACAGGCCCAGTTGGTGTACAGATGTCTGTGGCCATTTAATGTGACCCAGAGACAGGTGAGCCTTGAGAGGGCAGATGGGAAACATCCACCTTGGAGCCAGCCTCTTTTAAACAAAGCCAGTAGCAGCCTGGCAGCCCAGCCCCAGCACTTCCTGCATCTCCAGCCCACCACTCACTGGCTTGAGGGAAGGAGGTGTCCACCCCCTCCTCCCCAGGACCCATAGCTCAGACAGGCTCTTCTAATACAGGGTCTTTCTGGGTTGCAGTGAGCTTTGGCTGTTTCCTACCCAACAAGAAGGTGATCCTGTGGCAGAGAGGACCCAAGGAAAGGCTGAGGGTGGGATCTTACGGACTCGGGAGCTAGCTGTGGAAGTCCCCATAGGAGCCTTTCAGGGAGGAGTCGATGGGTGGGTGGATGAATGGGGACTGCTGGACACAGGTGGTAACAGCACAGACAACAGAACACAGGTGGGAGGATTTTCAAACCATTTACTAAAATTCTTACCCTCCCCCAAACAGCCAAAGAGGACAGCACCCCAGCCCCACACTCAGGATCTTGGCCTGAGGAGCTGCTGGGTTGAGGGAGGGAGGGAGGTCCAGTCCAAGTCTCTTGGGCCCCCCGGGCTCAGGGACTGCTGATGGGGTAAAGGCCAGCTGTACACATCCTTCATGCAACCCGGGCCCTCAGTCTGCTCCTCTGGAATGTACAGTGGCACCCAAGGCCACCAGGGACGGGGAGAGAAGTGGCATCTTTGGTCCAGCGCCCACACAACCAAGGAATCTGCGCCCCACCCACATCGGAGCCAACAATGCCCCCAGAAAAAGAAACCGAGCGAGTCCTCCCAAGTGCGCGTCGCCTGTTGGGGCAGGGCACCGCCCAGGGCCCAGCGAGTAACGGTCGGAGTGGACGGGCTGCGGAGCTCCATGGCCAGTACTCCGGCTTGTGAGCGTGGCTGACACGAGGGTGCCCACCGTGCCTGGCGCCCTCAGACGTAGTTTTTCTTGTCGTAGTCACCGGCCGCGGGCCGTCGCGGCGCCGAATACTTGACGGGGAAGCTGAGGTCCGGGCGGCGCGCGCAGACCCAGGCGCCGCAGCACACGAGGCCGCCGCCGCACATGAGCAGCGCCGAGGCGGCCCAGCCGATGTACAGCGCTGCTCCCAGTTCGTACTTGTTCGACACGGACACGTTCGGGTCGTAGAATTCGCGGACCACGATGTTGGCGAACCAGCAGAGCGGCACGAGCGCCAGCAGCCCGCAGAAGGCGTAGAGCGCGCCGCCCGTGAGAGCCACGCGCGCCTTGTTGGGCCCCGGGGCCACGCAGGTGGTGCACTGCGCGCCCGCCAGGGTCAGGCAGAGCGCCAGCAGCGCCAGCAGCGCGGCGCCCACGGTGAGCGCCCGCGCCGCCTGCACCTCGGTGCTCAGCGCCAGCACCGAGTCATACGTCTTGCACTGCATGTGCCCCGTGCTCTGCACCACGCACGACATCCAGAGCCCCTTCCAGGTGGTCTGCGCCGTCACGATGTTGTGGTCCAGGAAAGCGGTCACCTGCCACATGGGCAGCCCGCACGCCAGGATCAGGCCCACCCAGCCTATCAGGCACAGCACCAAGCCGAGGATCTCCAGCACCGCCGACCCCATGGCTGGAGGTGAGACGCACGCCCGATGGCCCCGGGGCCTCCGCGGGGGGTGCGGCGGTGCCTTGGCCGAGCGATCGGCGCCCTGCGGGGATTCTGGTGCCCTTGCGCCCGAGCCGCCGGCTCACTGCCCTCTCTGCTTGCTCCGCCAGCCAGAACACAGACTTCGCGTCTGCCGGCACCTCCCGGGGTCCCTCCCCTTTGAAAGTTCGGGGGGCGGACTCGGGTCCGGCCTCCTGGCCCGAGAAGCCAATCCGCGCTCAAGCTGTCGACCCGCAGCCAATCATGACGCCCCCCAGTATCCGGCAGGTAGTAAAATTACCGCGAGTGAGGATAGCGGAGAGCCGGGGACCGCTCCCCGCAGGGTCTCCGCCCCCAAACCCCCACCGCGGGTTGTCTAATTGTGGCCAAGCGCATTCTGGGTTGGCCTGGGGCGGCTGCCAGCACGCTCCTCCTCGCCCACCTCCTTGCACATCCCGTCTGGCCATTTCAGGAGCTACAAGATCCTCAACTTCCCCCGCCACTTCCCGGAAAGAGGCCTGATGGTCCCCACCCCCAGGCCAGCTCCCTCTTCCCTGGCCAAGGTCTGAGGGAGTCCCCATCATCACCACCACGTAGAGGCTTGCGTGTGGGTTCTTCTCCCAAGCTCGCCCTGGAGTCTAACAGATGCAGAGCCCTTCACCGCATCCTTACTGGTCGGATGGTTTCTTCTCCCAAGCTCGCCCTGGTTTCTTCTCCCAAGCTCGCCCTGGAGTCTAACAGATGCAGAGCCCTTCACCGCATCCTTACTGGTCGGTGCCCCAGAGTCTTGGCGCAGCCTCTCCCACAGGCTGAGAGGACAGGCAGAATTGTGCGAGTCAGACTGGCCTACTGCCTCATCCAAGGTACTTCCCAGCACCACAGCCTCCCCAATCACTGCCTCCCCCGGGGTCTGAGACCCCAGCAAGAAGCAGGAGGCACAGGCACGGTCTCTCGTGAAACCCCTCCTCCTCCCATTCTGCTGCTGCTCTGGAGACTTCCCAGACCTCCCAACCTTCGCGGACTGCTCCTCTTCTTAAGAGGCTGCCCACCCCCCATCCTGGGAGGCCAGGCTCAAGCGACACCACGTCAGAAAGTCCCCAGTGTTCCCCAATGACCCGGCATACAGGCTGCCCGGCAGTGGCCCAGCTCCAAGGCTTACGCTGGCCTCAGACAGGGAAGACATAAAGGGACAGAGGGGCTGTGCTCCGCCTTCCACCAGCGGTAGCTCTGATACCCCAGCCCCCAGACCAACCTCCGGAAGCCAACTTGGAGTTTCCTGGCCAGGAGGAAGAGCCTCCATCCTCGCTAGAGGAGGGAGGTTCGGGATTTCCGGGCATTCTTCTGCACAATGGCCCAGCAGTTTCTCGAAAGGCCTACCAGGACGAACACAGAAGCCCCACAGGTGGGGCACCAGCCCTTTCTAGCAACCCCCTCCTCACCCTGTCAGCCTCCTTGTTTCCAGTAAAGTCTACTTTGTCCTGGTCTGGGACCCCTGGTATGCCTGTGCTTTCCTATGGTCTGAGGTGCTGGACTCTGCTAGCCAGGGCCCTCCGCAGAGAAGACCTGGTATTCTGAGGTCAACCACAGCCTGGCAGCTTTGATAAAGCTGTCGCTCCGGGTCCTGGTTCCTTCTCCTTCCTCAGGTGCTCTGAGGTACGGCCAATACCCTGTTCCTTACCCCTTTCTTACCCCCTCCCAGCACCAAACACCACAGCCTCTTCCCAGCCACCACCTCACTGGCTGCTACCCTCTTGCTGCAAACTGTTCAGCACCCCACCCTCCCCCCCCGCCGCCCAACTCTCTGCAGACCCTCCTGGACATCCTCTCTGCCATCCACTCCAGGAGGCCCACCCTCTCAGTCCTGCTTCCCCCAGTCCGAGTCCAGGGCCCTTGCCTAGGGCCCCCCTCTACATCCACACTCTTCCCAGGATGACCTCTGCGTCCTCAGACTGTCTGGGCCCCACCCTTGCCCACTGGGCTGTTCTCAGGGTAGCTGGGCCTTCCCAGCAGGCCCCGCCCCGCCTGACACTCTGCCTAAAATCCTCCTCGGCTTTCTTCACTGCCCAAGGACACAGTGCTGATTACTGGGAGTGGCCTAGGTGACTGGGTCTGGCCGTGCACACACTCCTGCGCCGCCCAGACTGGCCTCCCTCTGGGCCCTCAGGCTGGTCTGTCTCATCCACAGCCTTTTCTGCCTCCAGTGCTGGTCCCTTGGCTTGGGGCCCCGCTCATCGTCTACATTGTGTTGCTGAGGCCACTTCCACTCAGAGGCCTTTCTGCCATGTCCCCAGCTTTGCTCCCAGAGGTCCAAGCTGGAACTGTCCACCTGCTTGCTGGTTTTCCCCACCAGTATCCAGGGACGAATCTCAACACAGTGGCCATCTACATGCAATGTACCAGGTAGGGGCCTGTCTGCTGCTCCTTCAGCCAGCTTGGGGTGCAGCCGCATGTGGCTCTCCCCCTTCACCTGCCCACCTGCCTCCCTTCATCTACCACTTTGGGGCCCATCCTTGGGCCCACCTCCAGCCTGGCAGCCCATGGTGCCCCCAGCGATCTCATGACTCTTTGGGACAGACCCACAGTGTATTGGGGATCACAGTATCCTTGGACTGACAGGTTCCACCTATTTACAATCTGATTTCTACCTCAATACCACAGTGGAACCAGAGCGACCACAGCCAGGCCAGCTCATACCAAGGGCAGGGTGGAGGAGGGATTAGGGAGGGAAGGCATGAGGACAGCCCACCCTTCCTTCCACTCAGGAGGATCTCCTGACTTATTGCACGCTGAGCACGTTCTTTAGTGGAGCACAACCCAGGGAGCTCCCCTCTCAGCCAGTAACTGCGTAAGGTGTGCCTGTTGCCTGGGGAAAGAGACAGCCATGTGGTGCAGTGATGGCCTCTCTGAGGAACTAAGATCTGAGAAGTTCTCGCAAGAGCCCAGAAGTAGGAAGGGGAGGAACCCCAAGAGGGAGCTTGCTCAGGCCAGATGGAAGGGGGAGGGCCTGGAAGCCCAGTTCGGAGAGGGTGCAGGGCTGGGCAGGGACGTCAATCCCTGATCTGTGGCAGGGGGCTCCCAGCAGCCAAGGCCACCTGCTCATTTACAGCCATTGTTCTCTTTCCCAGGGGAAGTGCAGCAGGATCTCATTAATTGTCTGAGGGAAAGGCCCGAGTCAGCAGAAAAGCAAAATTATCTTGAGCAGCTGCTGGCTGACCCCGAGCCAGGATTATCCGGTGACCTTCCAAGGACAATCTAAACTTAGGCTCCAGAGCCCGTGGGTTTGAGTTTAGGGAAGCTCCTAGTTAAGGGATTTCACTTCAGGGGAAGTGAAAAACCAACGTTTCTTCTATCTTTCGGCTTTGAAGTAGGTAAGGATGTTTTCCTCCAATGCAGCCGATGTTTCTTGGAACAAGGCAGTGCTTAAGCAGCAGCTCTGGCTCCAGGTGTCACTCCGCCCGCTCTGGGGGCCTGAGACGCTTGATGGGAGGGGCCCCACCTGCACTCATGCTCAGAACACCCTTTGGCAAACAGCCAGAGAATTCACAGTTCAGACTAGTGAGTTGGCCTCTCCTTGCCTTAGTTTCACCGCTGGTTACAAAGTCCTCGGTGGTGAAGCCTGGAGAGGAGGCTATCACTGATCCTGGGTCCTCTGCTGCCTTTCCTGGGGTCCTCCCTTGACCTTCACAAATCATCTGACTTTAGTCCCCTCCCTGAGAGTGGGCCCCACTGGCTGTTGTCAGATGGGAGGGCACCGTGGCTTTCCTTTCCCTGGTTGGGGCAGAGAGCTCTGGTTGACAGAGCTCCAGGGTGCTATAGACCCGTGGGCCTTCACAACTGCACTCCTTCCCCCTCCCCAGAGCCTGGAGAAGGCCAGCCAAGGCTCCTGAAACAACAGCAGTGCCCTTACTGCCCTCCACCTCCTTTTAATAATAAAAAGTCCTTCTATATCCAGGAGATATAAATTAAGTTATATTTTCTTATAGTTTTCTTCTGCATTGCCTCATGCCAAGGAGAGCTTCTGATTCTGACTGAGATGGATGGAACTAACAGCAGATTAGAGTTTTGCTCAACCTCAAAATGGGGGAAGGGAAGAGGAAATAATCAGTAAACTTGAAGATAGAATAATAGTATTATCACATATAAACAAGAGAATGTGAACTAAAAAAACAAAACAGAGCCTCAGGAAATGCGGGATCATAACAGAAGATCTAACATCTATGTCGCTAGAGTTCCAAAAGTAGAGGAGAAAGATGATGGAGATAAGAAAAAGTACTTAAAGAAATAGTATCTGGAAATTTCCTAAATTTAGCAAAAAGGAAAATTAAAAAAAAACAAACCCAAACCTTACAGATTCAAGATTTTGTCCAAATCTCAAGCAGGATAAACACAAAATTCATACCAAGACACATCATAAACTAAAAATTGAAAACTAAAGACAAAGAAAAATATTGAAAGGAGCCAGAGAAAAAGGACATTTCACAAATCAAACAACTAAGAATTTCTGATCAGAACATGGAACCCAGAGAAAGTAGCACATTTTTATTTTTTTAAGTATTGGAAGGACAAAATGTCAACCCAGAATTCAATATCTAGTGAATATAAACTTCAAGAGTGAAGGAAAAATAAATATATTCTCAGGTGAAGAAAAACTAAGAAAACTTGTCATAATCAGATATACTCTAAAAAAATGTCTAAAAGATATTCTTTAAACAGAAAGGAAATGGTAAAAGGAGGAATCTTGGAACATCAAAAGAATATGATAAGCAAAATCTTGGTAAATACAATAGATTTTTCTTTTCCTCTTGAGTTTTCTAAATTATGTTTGATAATTGAAGCAAAAGTTATTACACTGCTGAAAGGTGTTCTCAGTATATGCAGAGGAAATACTAAGATATTATAATAAACAAAAAGGAGAGTAATGGGACACAAATGGAGGTAAGGTTTCTATACTTCATTCCAAATGGTAAAATGTCAACACCAGTA